GGGTTTGAACAGCCAGCCTTCTAATTAGAGGTCACATACCTTAAGCACTACACTACCAGAGCTCCAAACAAAACCTACTTACCAGAAAACATTTAGCAACCAAAAGGTTGTGTTTGCCCTGAGTTAAAATTTAACCCCTTCAAAGGAGTTCTGGTGGCATAGTGCCTAAAGCATTTGACTACTAACCAGGAGGTTGGCAGTTCAAACCCATTAGCCACTGTGTGGGAGGAAGACTGGGCAATGGACTTCTGTAAAGATTTACCACTTCAGAAACCCAATGGGGACACTGTGAGTTGGAATTGACTCAATGGGAGTGAGTCTGAGTGTTGACTGTTGTTGACTACTGATCTTTGCTGAGCTAATTTGTTACAAATATGTTGATTTAACTCTAAGTCATACTTTTACTACCTGTCTGCCAGTTTGTCATATTCTGGTGGCTTTCATATTGCTGTGATACTGAACACTATAGCACGGCATTTCAAATACCAGCAAAGTTACCCATGGTGGACAGGTTTCTGTGGAGCTTCCAGAAAAGACAGACTAGGAATAAAACCCTGGTAATCTATTTACCCACCAGCTACTCCTCGGAGGGAAGATTGGGCAATCTACTTCTGTAGTGATACTGCCTTGGAACCCAAGGAGGGGTCGCCATGAGTCAGGTCTGACTCGACAGCACATAACAACAACAACAATCTATTTCTGAACTCTGGTGGCGTAGTGCCTAAGGCACTTGACTGCTAACCAGAAGGTTGGCGATTCAAACCCACCAGCCACTCCTTGGAAGGAAGGTTGGGCAATCTACTTTCGTAGTGATACTGCCTCGGAAACCCAATGAGGAGTCTCTATGAGTCAGGTCTGACTCCATGGCACATAACAACAATAAGAAATCTATTTCTGAAAATTAGCTGATGAAAACCCTATGGATCACAACAGGATATTGTCTGACTGTCTTGTTGTTAGACACGTCATCAGAAGGGATCAGTCACTAGAAGACAGCATGTTTGGTGAAGTGCAGAGCCAACAGGAGCTCTGGTGGCACAGTAGTTAAGCACTCAGCTGTTCACCAAAAGGTCCACGGTTTGAACTCACCGGCTGGTCTGTGGGAGAGAGATGTGGCAGTCTACTTTGGTGAAGATTTATACCTTGGCAACCTTGTGGGGCAATTCTACTTTGCCATCTAAGGTAGCTGTGAGTTGCAATCTGTTTGACAGCAAACAGCAACAGAAGGCCATTGAGAGTGTGGGAGATAAGAAGGATTGGCACAATAGCTGCAATGATAGACTTGAACATGTTGGCAACTGTGAGGATAACACAGGATTGGATGACATTTTGTTCCATTGTACATAAGGTCACCATGAATCAACAGCACTTAACCACAGTGTGGTACTTATGAATATTCACAAACTGAAAAAAAATCTATCTAGAAACTCAGTTGACATATAACAGCTGATATATTTAGTGTCAAACAAAGATTATTTTGTACTTGCTTTTCTTATAATGACTTAAGCTTATTAAGCCTGAATTTTATAGCACATATTGAGGCATTAAAACATATCATGCAACCCTGACTATAATTAATTGCAAAAGAACAATGCATCAAAGACACTGTACAAAGCAAAGCTGTTACTGTATTGTTAGGGCATGAGAAATGGATCCTAAAAATACTCACTTTTATATATGCTACTATATATAAACTCAACTGTCTTCTATGCTGACCAGAAAAAGAAAAAAAAAAAAAAAAACCAGAAACACCTGAAATGACGTAGCTAAGTCCTTGCATCATGTTTTATGAAGAATACTGCCTAAACGTAGTATCATGATGTCATAAGATCTGGAAATCACTTCCTTTGAGGATTTGCTAATGTTTGGAGCTAAGTGTCTGTAGCTTAGAGAAGACTAAGGAGCTATATTAGGAGAATTGCCTTGTGCAATAAAGAACACTAGTATTTTGTTATTCCAGAAATAACTAAGGTGAAAGTTGGAAGCTGGTAAGATTTCAGTTCAATGTCAAGGACTTTGTAATGAGAAGAGTCACCCTCAGTTCAGCCATGGAACTGATTTTCTCATGAGTTCCGTGGTACTGGGCACTGGAATACTGGAAGTGTTCGGCTCAAGGTTAAATATCCAGCTGCCGGGAGCGTTATCAAAGGCATTTCTGTAAAATCAACTTTTCATTTGCAAACTTGTTAAGTTCGCCTCTTAGTTCTTGCAGGTTTTAAAAACAGATTCCATAGCATTTTCTGTGTACGCCATCATGTCATGTCATCTGCACATATAGACAGTTTTACATCTTCTGTCTAAATCTTTTTGCCTTCTATTGTTGTTGCCTACTGATCATTGTAGGATTTCCAATATAATGTTGAACAGAAGTTGCCAGAACAGATACCCTTGCCTTGTTCTCAACCTTACGGAGAAAGTATTCAGCGTTTCACTAGATAGCTCCGTAGTTTTCAAAGATGTCCTTCATCACATTGTGGGTGTTCGTTCCCTTTTGTTCCTGTTTTATTGAAAATTTGTATCATGAGTGGACACTATATTTTGTCAAATCCTCTTTCTACATGTATTGAGATGATGATATAATTATTTCCTTTACTCTGATCATTGATTTTACCTCCTTCTTCATTTTTAGTATATGTAGAGGATAAACTTCCTCCAAAACCAAACTAAACCAAACCAAACCCACTGCCATCGAGTAAAGTCCAACTCATAGCTACTCTGTAGGACAGAGTACAGCTGCCCCATAGGATTTTCAAAGCTGTAAATCTTTACGTAAGCAAACTGCCTCATCTTTCTCCCATGGAGTGGCTGTTGGATTTGAACCACTGACCTTCTGATTAGCAGCTGAATGCCTTAGCCACTGTGCTACCCTTCCCTGGAAGCATGACTTTATTTGCAACCCACAGATTTTTATTTTGTGTTGTCTTTGGCATTCGGTTCAATGTACTTTTCTCTTATTGTTTCATCTTTGACCCATGGGTTATTTAGAAGTGATTTCCTTAGTTTTCAAATATCAGAGGATTTTCACATTTTGCTACATGTACCTTTTCATAATGATGTAATGAATGTCTGATATTAATATAGCCATGCCAACTTTCTCATGCAAATACGATCACTTCTTTATATTTAATATGAGTTTCTTGTAGAACTATATAGTTGAGTCTTCCTTGTTTTATTTTTTTAACCTTGTCTAACGTTCTGTGACTTTTAATTGAGGACTTTAGTCAGTTTACATTTAATATGCTGTTGATGTGGTTGAGGCACCCTGGGTGACGCAAATGCTTGAGCACTTGACTGCTAGCCTAACGGTTGACTGTTTGAACTCACCCAGAGGTGCCTTGGAAGAGAGACTTGGTGATCTTCTAACAGGTGACAACCATGAAAACCTATGGAGCAGTTCTTCTCTGCACATAAGGAGTAGCCATGAGTCGGAATCGACTTGACAGCAACTGATAATTAATGATAACAACATTGATGTGGTTGGGTTTAAATCTGCCATCTCTATATTTGTGGAGTTTTTGTCGTGTTTGTTTTTTGTTCCTCAGTTCCTCTTTTTGAGTGAATTGTGTGTTTTTGGTATTTAATTTTATTCCCTTTATTTGAAGCTATATCTCCTGATGGGGTGTATGTATGTATTTGGTTTCCTTTCTTTTTTTAAATACTGCTTTAGAGCTGCATTGTTCAATACAAGAGCCACATGTGGTTATTTAAATTTTGATTAATCAAAATATGAGAAAATAATACATTCCTGGCTGGATCCCTGGTAGTATACAGGTTAAAGCACTCAGCTGCTAACTGAGAGGTCAGCAGTTTGAACCCACCAGCCGTTCTGCAGAAGCAAGATGAGGTAGTCTGCATCTGTAAAGGTTGATAGCCCTGGAAACCCTGTGGGGCAGTCTGTTGTCTCCAGTAGGGTTGCTAAGAGTCAGAATTGACTCAACAGCACTGGGTTGGGTTTGGTTTTTTAACAACATATGATCCTGAGCATCTTTTTATATGTTGTTATCTGTGTATCTTCTTTGGTAAGATGTGTGTTCATATCTTTGTCCATTCTTAAAAATTCAGTGGTTTTTTTTTTTTTTGGTTTCTGGGTTTATTTTTTTATTGTTGAGTTTTAAAGAGTTCTCTGTATATCTTAGGAGCTCTAGTGGCATAGTGCCTAAGGCATTTGACTGCTAACCAGAAGGTTAGCAGTTCAAATTCACCAGCGACTCCTTGGAAGGAAGGTTGGGCAATCCACTTCCATAGTGATACCACCTCAGAAACCCAAGGAGGGGTTGCTATGAGGCACATCCAACTCCACGGCAGTAAGTTTGATTTTGTTTTTTGTTTTTGTATATCTTAGATACAAGCTGTTTATCGGATAAGTCTTTTGCAGATATTTTTGCCCAGTCTCTGACTTGTCTTCTCATTCTCTTCATAGTATCTTTTGTAGAGCAGAAGTTTTTAATGAAGTCCAACTCTTTAAGTTTTTCTTTTTATGGATTAGAGATTTTTATTTTTATTCATCTCTCAGTTGGCTAGATTCCGTCATCACTTGGTTTTCCCAAGAAGGACCCAGGTAGCCCTGGAGGTGTCTGTACTGCTTGTCTGTCCCCTTCACACTGAAAGAGCAATTTGGCTGGCCATGATATCTCTTCCCTAGAATTTGTTGACCTATCTCCTCTGTCACCTGGAATTGTGTTAAACCAGTTTGTTTATTTTTTTTCTTTACTGCTTTTGTTTTTCCTTTTTGAATTAGAATTGCACTTTTCAAAGAATGTACATGAGTTCTGTACCTTTCGACTCACTGCACTTGAGAGAGTTGTTGCTAGGAATATACCACATCTGTATTGCTGTGATGTGGACCCTGGTATTCACTCCTCAGAAGGAAGATGGGACAATCTACTTCTATAGTGATACCGCCTCAGAAACCCAAGGTGGGGTCTCTCTGAGTCAGATCTGACTCCGTGGCAGTGGTTGCGTTTTGTTTTTTAATCATGCGTCTTTGTTTTCTTTCCTAGAGATCATTGACGATCTCGCCAATCTGGTGGAGAACACTGATGAGAAACTTCGCACTGAGACGAGGCGTGTGAATATGGTGGACAGAAAGTCAATGTCTTGTGGTAAGACATGGCTCTAGTTGGGTTCTGCTTCTCTGATTGCTTGTGGAGCTACTCAGCTTTGGGTTTCCCACTTTGTCTGATCACTATGAGGAGGTGGTTGTTCTGCTGGATACAGCTAGTCCCATTTGATGAAGCATTGACATTGCTAAAAGATGCTTAAATCTAGTAAAAATGAAATGAATTGTTTTTGATTTAGAGGTCTATAATATATTGTTATTATGATTATATTAATAAAGAAGATTTCCTGTATATTTATAGAGACTGGTAACTTGGGAAATTGTATGACATTATGCAGATGGCTGGTGGTCGAGCTTGTGGGTTGAAAAATGCTCCAGCTTGCATTTGTGTCCTTTTAAATCACAAGCTTAATTGTTGAAGCTTGAACTGCAGGCTGGTTAAGATTCTAGGTTCTGAAGTCTGATTGAGGTCAAGTCCTACATTTAGTGATGTTTTCTTTGATAAGTCACTTTATTTCTATGATACCTCATATGAGGGAGCCCTGGTGGTACAGTGGTTAAGCACTTCACTGGTAACCAGAAAGTTGGAAGTTCAAACACACCAGCTGCTCTGCTAGAGAAAGGAGTGACAGTCTGCTTCCATAAAAATGACAGCCTTACAGTTAAAAGGAGAAAGGCGTCTTTCCAACATTTGATACCAGAACAATTGGGCATCCACATGCAATAAGTAAATAAATAACCTCAACACACATGTCTTACATGTTACACAAAAATTAACTCAAAATGAAACATAGACCATAAGGTAAAGTGCAAAACTATAAAACTTCTGAAAGAAAACACAAGGGCAAAAATCTTTATGACCTCGGTATAGTAGGGTTTTCAATCTCAGCGCTATTGGCACTTTGGTTTGGATAATTCTTTCAGGAGGAGGTAGTGGTTTCCCTATGGATTGTAGAATGTTTAGCATAGTGTGACAACCAAAAATGTCTCCAGACATTGACAGATGTCCCCGGGGTATCAAAATCACCCCAAGTTGAGAACCACTGAATTAGGCAGAGGAAGGTTCTTAGGTATGTCATCAAAAGCACATTGTTAACAGAAATTTTTAAGTTGAATGTAAAGTTTTAAAAATGAGCCAGAAAAAGACAATGCTAAGAGAATGAAAAGATAAATTACAGACTGGGAGAAAATATCTGATATAGAAAATATCTGTTTCCTGACTATATAAAAAAACTCTCGGAACTCAACAATAAGAAAACAACCCAATAAAAATAATGGGCTCATCTGGAGCAAAGAAGAGAAAAGAAAATCAAAGAGACATGGAAACAGTCCAAAGGACTAATGGACCATGAAAACCTCAACCTATATGACCCAGAGACCAGAACTAGATGGTGCCTGGCTATCAGTGTTAACCACTTGGAAAGGGATCAAAATTGGAGATCCTGTATAGAGTGGGAGAAGAATGTGGAACAAAACTCAAAATCATAAAAAAGACCAGGCTTATTCGTCTCCTAGAGACTGGTGAAACCCTGTAGAATGTGGCCCTTTGTCACCCTTTGTGCCTGGAATTGATCTCACTCCTGTGGCTTAACTCTCAGCCAAACGACAGGCCTGAGCTAAGGCCTAAGGAGTTCTGGTGGGGAAGTGCCTAAGGCATTTGACTACTAACCAGAAGGTTGGCAGTTCAAACTCACCAGCCGCTCCTCGGAAGGAAGACTGGGCAATCTACTTCTGTAAAGATTTACCGCCTCGGAAACCCAAAGGGAGTCGCTGTGAGTTGGAATTGACTCATAGCGACCCCTCCTTGGATTTCTGAGGCAGTATCCCTACAGAAGTAGATTGCCCAACCTTCCTTCTGAGGAGTGGCTGGTGGGTTTGATTCACCAGCCTTCTGGTTAGCAGTCAAATGCCTTAGGCACTGTGCCACCACAGCTCCCTAAAATTATATAGCATATATAATGTTTCTAACAGTGGCCGGCCTCCCTGGCTTTCCGTGTATGGAGAGGTGTTATAGCGTAGTGGTTAAGGGGCTGTGAACTGTAGAGTCAGGGCTCACAGCTCAGCTCTGCCACTCACCAGCTATGTAATCTTAGTTAAGTAAAGCCACTTAGCTACCCTTTGCCGTGGTTTCCCCATCTCTGAAATGGGGATAATAACGACATATACCTCTTTGGTGGTTAAGTTAGTGTGTTAACTTGGCTGGGCCTGGTTGAGTGGCTGGGCAGCTGAATGTAGTTATTTCCCATGATGAGACTGGTAATTAACTCCATGGTGGAATCTATTGGAGCAGCTGAGTAGCTGCATTGGGTATGTGGTCTGCTTCCTGTATGTAAGAAACAGCTTTAGGAATGGTCGCTAGCTTAGGGCACACTTGAACCCTGCATGTAGCTGAGTCGTTTTTCAGCAGCCTGCCATCCTCTGCCAATCTTGGGACTTTTAATGAAATTGAATTAATGGCCTGCCATGTTGTTTGGTAATATTGGGACTGTGCCTTGTTATTTGTCGACCTTGGGTTTATCAGCTTCAGCAGCCAGTAGCTGAGTAAAGAAAAGCCTCCAGCTTCATTGGGCCAGAGCAGGAGGCAGAGCTGAAGCCCAAGGTTGAGAAGCTTTCACCCAGCCCCTGGAGCCTGGCACTTTGAACTCAGACTTAAAGCCTCCAAATTGTAAGAATAAACTCCTGTTTGTTAAAGCTATCCTATTTGTGATATTCCTGTCAGAGCGGCACTAGGGAACCAGAACAACTTCAGAGGATTGTTGTGGGGAATAAGTGAATGTACACCCACACACACCCACACACACCTTACCCCTTATTTGCAATTTCATTTCTGTATGTGTGCCATACATATATGTTAGAACAGTGTTTCTTATATTGTAAGCAGTGAGCAAGTAAGTATTAGCTTTTATAATTATATGTCTCAAGTAGGGAGGGTCTTCACAATTAAGTGACAACTTTCTTAAGGGCTTATGTATGTGTTAGGGAGCTCTGGTGGCATAGTGCCTAAGGCATTTGACTGCTAACCAGAAATCATAGCTCAACAGCCAAAAAAAAAACTATCTTTATATCATTTCTGATGTCTGGAAAGGAAAATAATTTGCTTTTTTTGTTGTAATTTTAAAGGGAGATTTGCAATTTCACATGGATTTGTTGACATACAATGCTACTTTTTGCATATTAATGAAGTTTCAGAATATGACCTCTAAAGCTCTTGAGCGATTGGCTGGTATTTATACTAAAAAGTTCGCTTCTAACTCTTCAGCTGATGAATATTAAGCCTTTGAATAGGCATAGTGCAGAATTTCCTGAGTAGGGCCAGCAGCCCTGGGCAAACTTACACTGATCCTTGTTTTGCTCCCAGCCTCTAAACTCTTTGGTACTTTCCTATAGCTCCTTAATCTGATAAAACCAATTTGTAGGCAGGAGTCAGGGACTTCGGCGGTCTGAATAGGCGGGCAGAGAGGGGTGGAAAGTAAGTGCCTGAGGCATTGCCAGAAGGTTGGCAGTTCAAACCCACCAGCTCCATAGAAGGAAGATGGGGCAATCTACTTCCCTAAAGATTGATGCTGTGGAAACCCAATGGGAGTCGCTGTGAGTCAGAATTGACTCAGTGGCAGTGGGTTTTGTTTTTTGTTTTAGGACCACCCAAATTGGAAAGTGTAATAGACCCTTCTCACGTTAACCCCAGGAACCCAGAGAGCCATACCTTCATGGTAAAAGTGAGAACTGAACTTCCTTCTCCCCGGCTCTTGGAGATTGTTTTAGCCTTAACACTGAGCAGAGTAGAAGGAAGAAGAAAAGAAAAAATATATATACAGTTCCTGAGAAGTTGTGGTCCCAGAAAGTTGTGGATTTGTGCCCTGCACATACATACTCAGTGTGGATCAGGGAACCTCATTCCCTAAATTTGGGTTAAGGCAGACTTGCCTGTTTTAGTTCCCAGTGCCTGGCAACAAAAGCAAGTGAAATACCTCTCTGGAGAAAGGCATATTTATCCTAGGTCTCTAGGAATCGATCAAAAATAATTTTTAAAAAGCAACGACCAGCACGTAGCCAAAGATAACTAGCATACACGGAAACAGGACAACATGACCAAGGGATCAGCAGCAGACTGTGGAAGCCAGTCTGCACTGACCTGCAGAATTAGAATGAACAGACACGGAGTATAAAGTCAGTTATTGTTATTAGATGGAAAGAAAGAAATGACAAGCTTGAGGTATCTTCAGACAACAGGAAACTATGAAATGTAACAAAGCAAATTTGAAAAACAAAAAGGTTAGATAGTACTTGTAGAAATAAAAAAATAGCTGCAATTTAAAACTCTGGGCATCTTTGGTAGCAGTAGTAGAGAGAATCAGCTAAAGGACAGATCAGAAAAAATTAAGCTATATTCCCTTTCCCTGAGTGCTAGCATTTAGAAGAGGACACTCAAATGCCATGCAAGTTAAATTAAGATCTTAATAAGGAAGGCACTGGGAGACAGAAGATTAGGCTAAGAACCTCAAGACATAACAAAGAGTTAATCTCCTGCTCTGCCCCAAATCAAGGCTAGATTAATCATTTTATATTTAAAAACCACTTACATACACAAAAATGCCAACAAGGTGTGTTTTAACTATTTGAATGGTGTGGAATGAAGTGGGGTTCAAGTGCAATTCGATTACTGTTCACATGGCACTCTATTACTGTTTAACTAGAGGCCTTGAGTGAACTGTGGATAGCAGCCTGTACATCATCATTTTACTCAAAAGGGTACAAAAATAGATTGTGAACCATGAAATGGGCTTTTGTTTTCCCTCCCTCAGCGTTTCTTCCTTGCTGGTCTGATAGACCACACATAGATGCTTTAGCAGTGAGGACATCTCTAGTTATAAATACAGACCAAATTGCAAGTGGGCCACACAGAAGCAGGGCCTGATGCTGGATCTGTTTATTCAGTTGTTAATGAAGGTTCCTTTGCCTCCTTGTGGACCTTTCACTCGGATCCTGCACGTTAAACACTTTAGCCATCTTTGTGTGTTTTTCCCTTTTTCTTCCCATTTCCCC